GGGCAGGGGGAGGCGGGTCTCACCCTCTGCCCCCACGCAGCCGCATCCACATCACGAGGGCCACGCTGCAGTACCTGAACGGGGACTACGAGGTGGAGCCGGGCCGTGGCGGCGAGCGCAACGCGTACCTCAAGGAGCAGCACATCGAGACCTTCCTCATCCTGGGCGCCAGCCAGAAGCGGGTCAGCGAGGGGCGCGGGCGCGGGCGGGGCAGAGGCCTCCTCTGGCGCCCCTCTGAGCCCTGCCCCTCCTGCCGCCCAGAAAGAGGAGAAGGCCATGCTGAGCAAGCTGCAGCGGGCGCGGGCCAACTCCACCGAGGGGCTGGTGCCGCGCTGGGCGCCCGACCGAGCCTTCGCCCGCACCAAGGACTCCAAGGCCTTCCGCCAGATGGTGAGGCCCAGGCCCGGCCCTGCTCCCCAGCAGGCCGCCTCCCGCCCCTCCTGTCTTTCTCAGCTGCCGTCCCCAGGAATGGTTTCTAGAACCGTGGGCAGGGGGATGACTTCACCCCAGGGGTCCAGTCCCCCGAAATGTGTAGGGGGGCCCCTCAGTGCAGCGCTGGGCCTGGGGAGGGACTGTAGGGAGCGGTGGGCTTCCCCCACTCATTTACACGCTCTGGCTCTGGCTCTAGGGCATTGATGATTCCAGCAAAGACAAGTAAGTCAGGTCATCGAGGGAGGGCGTGGGGGCCAAGGCACTGCCCCCGGGGCAGGCTGGGAGGTGGCCGAGGCGCAGTCACGGCCCCTGCCCGCAGCCGGGGGGCCCAGGACGCCCTGAACCCCGAGGACGAGGTGGACGAGTTCCTGGGCCGCGCCATCGACGCCCGCAGCATCGACCAGCTGCGCAAGGACCACGTGCGCCGCTTCCTGCTCACCTTCCAGAGAGAGGACCTCGAGAAGAAGGTTTGGGGGTGCAAGGGCGGAAGGGCGGAGGCCGGCGGGGGGGGGAGGTCTTGGCAGGGAGGTGAGCACAGCGGAGGGGGCTGGGGAGGCCGGAGGGGGTGCAGAGGAGACGCCAGGACGGTGGAGCTTCCCGAGAGGCCCGGCCTGCCCCCCTCCAGGCCTGGGGGTGCTCTGCCTGCCCGGGGCGCGGCCCAGCACTCAGCTGGCCTCTCCTCCGCAGTACTCGCGGAAGGTGGACCCCCGTTTCGGCGCCTACGTGGGCTGTGCCCTGCTGGTCTTCTGCTTCATCTGCTTCATCCAGCTCCTCATCTCCCCGCAGTGAGTGCCCTGCCCCCCATTTGCCCAGCTTCTCCCCCCCCCCCTTGTCAGGACTTCCTCAACACCCGGGATTCCCAGATGCTGTTGCAGGCGCTGGGGGTACGAGCCGGTCTCTGGAGCCTGCGCCCACCCTGCCTGCCCAGGGAGGGGGCGAGGACGCTCAGATGGGCCAGCGTAACGGCGGCCCGGGCCGGCCTTGTCTGTGCAGCTCCACCCTGATGCTCGGGGTCTACGCCAGTATCTTCCTGCTGCTGCTGGTCACGGTGCTGACCTGCGCCGTGTACTCCTGTGGCTCTGTACGTGGGGGCCTCCAGGGCTCGGGGGGTGAGGGGGCAGCCGGCCGGGGCCGGGGGCGCAGAGGGAGGCGGCGGCCTTACGTGCCCGGGGCCCACCCTGCTGGTCCGGCCTCTGCGCTGACTGCCTGGCTCTCGGCCTGCTGGCCGGCAGCTGTTCCCGAAGGCCCTGCAGCGACTGTCCCACAGCATTGTCCGCTCGCGAGCGCACAGCACGGCCGTGGGCATCTTCTCCGTCCTGCTGGTGTTCACCTCTGCCGTCGCCAACATGGTAAAGGCTCAGTGGGAGTTCTTACCCTTCTCCTCTGCCCCAGGCCCTGCGGGTGTGGAGAGTCAGATGCGGTTCCTGCCCTCGCGAAGCTCTTTATTTCTCAAAAGAGGAGCGAGGTCCACCCCAGCCCTCGTCCTTCCTCTCCTCGCCCCTTGTCACCCC